GACAAATAAGGCATAACCAAAGAGGAATATATAATATGCAGGCCTTGAATATGTGTTGTTTTTAAGACTCTATAATTGTGGGTTTAAATAGCATTTCACTGGCAATATAATTACCGAGTAATATTTTTACATTTCCTGTCAACATAACATTTTTAATACAAAACCCCGGTGGACCGCCTCAATGCCCCCGACCACTGGGCTTAGCAAGTTTTCTTGGGGAAACCCTGCAATGTTTTAGTAACCTGACAAATTTGAATTTAGTCAAGTTACAACTGTAAACATTATTGTAAATGTTTTATCTATGCTAATTTTGTGATAGGCCAAAATACTTTGATCTCCCCTGTATTGCTGGCTGCATGACATGGCTGAATTATGAAATTCTGCCACAGTCTTAAGTCTTTTGCAGCCTCTCCCAACCTTCTCTGAGCATTACCTTGTATTTGTCTCTGTTTAGCATGATGTTAAACAGCTGTGGAGTTGTAACAATTTTGTTTTATCTGGATGGGACATTCTCTGGGAAAGTCATTAAGCTTCTAAATAAATAGGAGCTTGGTATGTGAATGCCAGTGGTTTTTAATTACTAGTAAAGTCACTGTTTCGTCAACTTTTTTCTGGCCATGTTAATTTTGTGCTGTAAACTAAAAAACCTTAGTAGATGCAACATGTTGGTTTTCAGTGTTTTCTTCTTCCGAGTTGCATTTAATTAAATCTAAAAAGTGCTGTAGTGCTGCTGGCTTCTACATAATGTTAAAAATTATACACTGTCCTAATGAATTGGATCTCTTTCTTACACACTTCCAAGTTTTGTAAAAATAAAAAACGAAACTCCTAACACTCAAAGCCAAACCTTAAACTGAGTTGTGCCTCCATGTTGGTTTTGCATGTAAATGAGCATTCTCCAGCTTGCTGGCATGAGCCTGTTTTCCTCTGACCATCTTGTATGTAAATAACAGCACAGGCTTTTAAATTTACATGAAGTTTGATCAGTTAATGTGATCAAAGCTATTTTTTTTGTACAAAGCATCACATTGAACTTCAATGTGATTTAGTTGATGTGACAGAGCTTGTAAATGAATCTGAGACATTTCAATTGAATTTTGATCATTTGATAAATGTGGTAGTTTGTCCTTAACTACAAGAGTGCTAAATTGGAGATTAGTTCCTTTGTCACATTTAAATTTGACTTGGATGTCAAAAAACCTTTTTGATATATTCAGATTTCTTTCCCTCTTCATGTGCATTCATGTTTTTTCAATAAGAAAAAGTTTTTATTCAATTTGTTGCTAGTTAGGACAACATTCTTAACACAGTGAGGGTAAAAAAAAAAGTTGGTTTAAACAATAAAACTGACAATACCTTTGCTCTGCTGACGGAAGCTAATGTGGCTGGAAAACCGAAAGGCCCCATTTTTGACCAGCTTCTGATTTCTGATCCTTGGTCCCCTGATCCTGTGGAAGATACTGGGACTCTAACTTCCACTGTTGTCCCACGTCCTACAATCTGTTCTAAGTGATTCCCTGCTCGGGGCTGTTGGATGTCATGATTGAATATTATCCTCTCCATAGTATTTTCTGTCACTGAAAAATAAGATTTAAGAAAGCATTTGTTTAGAATTAAACAGCTGAGCCAAGTTAAATCCATACTGCAATAAAATCAGAACAAAAAATATATGAATCTTACGTATAGTATTGTCCTCTTTCCATTGATGCTGTTCTGGTTCTTTCCATTGCCATGCACCGCAGGCACTGCGCTTTTTCTTCACAAGAAAAGATCTTGGCATTTCTTGCTTTAGTTTGTTCTTAAAATGTACACTTTGATGTTGAAAACTGAAACAGCTGATGAGATCTGTTACTCACTAGCATATATATCCCCCTTCACAACTACAGTTTTATTCCTAGACAATCTGCAAGTGAAACATCCCAGTAAAATCACAGGAAAAATTTGCATTCTCTCTGGACAGAGTGGTGGAGAGAGAATGGCAGTGGTGGGTGTGGGAGGCTGTGGCAGGAGACTTTCTGTGTAGACAGTCATACACCTGTGATGACTGTGCATATCCGCCATTTTAACCGGTCCTCCAATGGATTTGCATGTCAGGTACTGAGTATCCGGGGAGCTTCTCATTCAAGTAGCTTTTGACATGCAAATTGAAGTTCTGGACTAAGCCCTGGTCTCAGAGGAAGGGCACGGTCTAAGTAACAGGAGCAAACACAGTGAAGCCACAATCTTAACTGACAGGTAAATCGATTTTTCTCATGATAAATGTCTAGTGGATATTCCTCCACAATATGTATTGTAAGTGGCTAACAGAGGAGTTGGACCTTTTTTACAATCATCATTTGATCACTTGAGGTGACTCATGAAAGGGCCTGACAGTAATTTAGATCAGTGTTTTTCAACCTTTTTTGAGCCAAGGTACATTGTTTTAATTGAAAAAATCACGAGGCACACCACCAAACAAAAATGTAAACAAAGATACTCTGTAGCCGCCTATATTACATATATAGTGGTTCTTATCAAAGTGTCTTGAATAGGAATCAAATAAACACAAAAATTTATTTTTTATCATATTTTACATTTCTTATTTCAAATTGCACTTACAATGTCCACTTCAAAAATACACCAGAACAGTGCCACAACACTGTCGTGTGTGATGCATGAATGTAGTAACATTCATGCATATTTGCAGATAATTAAATCGTTTTCAAAAAATCTTTTAAGACCAATTACCGTATTTTCCGGACTATGAGCGCACCATACTAAACTGTACCTTCAAATTTTTTGTAAATACTCTTCATATTCATATGAGAATTCTAAATGGACTGAGTTTACCACTCAAAGAGCTTTAGGCTAGAGCCACATTCACACAGTCAACTCACAAGCACACACATTCGTACAGCGAGACTGAGATCGATGGCCAACTTGGGGCTTCACTGCCTTGCCCAGGAGAACATCGACATGTGGAAGGAGAAAGCTGATTTTTTTTTTTAGATTGTAAGACTTTTTCTTTTCCTGGTTTCTAGCTGTAATAACTTAAGCTGTGTGCTGACTCTAGATTGTTCCTCTATAAGTCCAAAGATAATTAAGGTTGCAAGCAGCCTCATAATCAAACATCAAAAAAGCAGAGTCCAAATAACACAAAATGTTACTAAGAGTTAGGGAGTATAAAGGTCTGAATCAATCCATCGGCAGCACGATTCTCCCAAATTGTAAACAGTGGCACATACTTGTGACAGTAATAACTTAGGCCAGTGGTTCCCAAACTTTTTCTTCTGCGCCCCCCCAGTGGTTTCCAAACATTTTCTGCGGCCCCCCCTATGGATTACAAATGGCTGTCTGGTTGAAACGACGCGTGTGACGGGGGGGGGGCATCGACTTCTTTGGGGGCAAAATGAATGTACGTAGCTGAAAATAGACACCAACATCGGTAGCCTACAAGGTACTTGTTAAGCTTAAGTTTCAGTATTGATATTAGCTAGTCATCTTTTAGCTAACATTACCTGCATGAAACAGCTTTACTCAACTCAGTCGGTTAGTTTGGAGGGAAAAACTGTGAAAAGTTCTTTGCGTTTTGCTGGTTTGCTGCCGTGATTCTAACACAAACCTCCGCACAGCAGCAGCAGGTCTCCTTGACAGGTGTAAACTCGGCGCGAGCGTCATAGCGCTCATGTTGCGTTTAAAGGCGGCTCGGAAAAACAGGTTACAACATGTTAACAACGGACTAAACTGTTTTAACTGCTGATAAAAGTGACAGAGGACACAAATATGGGAAGTGTGGAAGCCTCTACTGTATCAAATTGACATAGGAATAACAGAGAGTTGGCCATTCTAAGGTAAAAACCCAGCGCATACAGTGTTCATGTTTTTGTTTTTTTTTTCATCCAGACGGCTTCCCGCGCCCCCCCCTGCAATGACACGGCGCCCCCCCTAAGGGGCGCGCCCCACAGTTTGGGAACCTCTGACTTAGGCTGTCTTAACGTGATACTACACAGTTACAGCTGTTACAACTGGTGATTCAGTGACCAAATTGATGTGTCCTGTTCTGAAACTGAAAATCCTGAGTATCACAGATCTGGGTAGGTTTACTCAGGGCTTGTTAACACTGCTTTCTGAAATGGGGCCCTGGTGACATTGTAATGTCATCAACTTTGTTACTGCAAAGCATCTTTGAGTGTTAAGAAAAGCGCTGCGCTAGTTAAATAAAATGTACTTTTGTTATGTTTTTTCTTAATTGTTGTTAGCGGCAACTACACATTTTCAAAATGGTTAACACATCAGCCTGTACAGTGACGTTCAAAGTGACATGTTTTGTTTCCAAAAGACTCTAAACCCCAAACATTTCAAATATGAAACTAAAGCAAATATCGCTTTCAAACAAAACAACTTGCAACCAAGTGTATGAGCTCTTCTAATAATTACATAGTATTTTGTTGTCCAATAAACAATGAGCAAAATACAGCTTTTGTGTTGCTTTCATGGCAGTGCCATTTGATATATTTCTTCATAAGATATGTCAGATTTTCTTCATTGTGTGGCAGTATGCCCTGTAGCCTTTGAACGCACCACACAAGTGCCTGAATCTAATTGATTGTGGCGCCGGTTGCCTGTAAGGACCCTCCCTCACCTGGTTGACATCACGTTGTTTTCCTTCCGGTTCAGACGTCGGCGCTACACGCTAGCCGCAAATTAATGCGCGCTCAGACAGCTGCGTTTAACGACGCTCTGGTCGCCGATCCATCGTCCTTGTGGCCGCCTGTGCAAGCTCCCTGTTTTCTCCTTCCTGTCAGAGGCACTATGTAAAGAGCTCAGTGCCTAATGCTGTTTGTCCTTGGCCGGCTGTTTGTCTGCTGTTCTGGTAGTCCCTGACTGGCGGTCCGCCTGTCATCTGGGTTATCTGTCGGCTGCCTACCTATCGTTGTTGGCTTCATGCCCGCCGTCCTGGTCGGCGTAAAGCTGGCTCTTATTACTCGTCCAGTATAGCTGATTTGGGGTGGTTGGTGACCAGCTCTGACTAATCCTTCTAGTGCCGCTCTGAGTGGCAACTGCTACAGCGTGGCGGTTCCTCCAAGGACGGACCCTCAATTTGGACTATTGCTGCTTGATTGGTCGTGGACTGAACTGTATAATTGTATTAATGTCTGTAATTCGAATGTTTCTTTTTCCTTTATTTTAACAGGAACGGCCAGCTCGTGGTGTTAACAGGTGGTGGACTTTCCGGTGGTGGTAGTACTTCTGGTTTGGTGCACGGTTTTCTTTTGTTTTTGCTGTTTTGTTTGCTGTGTTTCTTTTCTTTTAGGACACTACCTTGAATTGCACTTCTATCTCTGAGTTGAGCTATAACTGTCTTTTAATGTGACTGGTTTTAAAATTGGTATATATAGTAATTAAAATAATTATACAGTAAATAAACTTATTGAATTGTGTGAGATTGTCTCAAGCCTCATCTGTAGCGGATCTCTGTGTGCCTTAAAGGCAGTGGTGTACTTAAGTACA